ACATCTATGAATTAGAAATTCTTTTTCATAATAAATATATTTCCGATCGCAGTTCATATTATAAGCTGAAATGAAAATTCTTGAACAATTATAAATTTTTTTTTCCTAAATGTAGGGGCTTAAGTTTCTTGCCCACTTATCTTTACTAACTACAAGCTTTTCTCTTATTCTCCCAGAGTTTTTATTACGCAATGCATATTTTTAATGAAATATTGAAATCCCAAATTTATATATGAAATTTGTAAACCGATATTATAAACGAAAAAAAAAAATACAATCTAATTTTTATAGAAACAAGAAATTATGCTATTAATGTTTTTTTAACAAATCAAGGCGCATCTATATTCAATGAAAATAATTACTTTTACAGAAATACATGTCGCACATATCGCATGTAAACGTTAATTTACATAATTTCTAAACTCCTCGAGTGATATGCAATCGGTTGGCATGTTTACTAATAAGCAAAACAAGTATTATGCACTTACAAATTTCCCAAGATAAGCAGCTGTGATATCTCTAAATCTCGCCTGCAATTTATCAAAATACAAGAACTTATTAGATTAATAAATAGATTAATATATAAATATTTACCTCCCATGACTGTAAATAACAATAGTAAATGCAATATTACAATATACTCGGTAAATTATTATTATGCTACATGAAATCTAGTATCGTATAATTTGTATTGTTTTAATATAATTTAGTTACATCGTTAAATAATAATTTTGGTTTATACGTTCAATATTTTGCTTTATTCTTAGAAAATTATATCGTATTCCATTTTTTTAAAGTTATGGTTAAAAAATTCAATAACTCTTACCAATTCGAATTCGAATGAAAAATAAAAAGGACGAAGAAAAGAAGCTTAACTAAAAATAAATATTATTTTAACAATCGATTTATACAGATCTGTATATTTATTATTTACTGCTAAAAGTAAATAGTTTTGAAAGTCAAATTTTTCATATGAATTTGCAGTTATTCTTCACATTATACAAATCAAATACATCAAATGATTATTCACGTTCATTATTCACTGATATTTTCTATTACTTATATTTTAATTCTCTGCAAAATTCTCATGTTATCTCGTAAAAGTCTCGAGGAATTATTTGTACATATTTTTTCAATAAAATGGTTTATATTCAATTATAAACCAATGATATAAAATTTAAAGTCTTAAAAACGCTTATTTATATTTTCCTCATTGTTATGCAAATAATGGATTCTTTCTTACGAGAATTTTCCTATAAAGCATAAAGCATTTATTCATGAAAAATTTTTTATTCTGTCATGTAATAAAAAACAAAAACCATTTTTTTAAATATCATTTGTATTTCGATCGATGTTTTACTTGTAATTTATTATGACATTACTGATGTGGAAAAAAAATGTTTAATTATTGAAACACCAATGTTGGATAAAGCATGCTTATCTCTACTGCATGAACATGTATATAAATATTTTATCAAATTTTACATTTTAAATTGAGATCCTTTAAACAATTATTATAATGAAAAGATTCTTGATTTAATAGAACAGTTTCTTTATTTCTTTATTTAAGTGCCCATAACCGGTAACATTCACACACTTCCGTTGTTGAAATGTTGAAATATAAAATATATATGTTTCGAGTTGTTTGTTAAGAATCTTAAATTTTGAAACTCTCCGTTAGTCTCAAGTATTTGATAGATCGCATAAGTTATCTCTTGAAAATATATTCTTCAACAGCAAATAAAATTACTTAATTAACGTAGGCGTGCTATTGCATATAAATTTCATTGTTTATAAAAGGTGAGCATTTGAAATAACGTAATAAATTTTTGTGTACTAATTGAAATATTTGATAAGAATAATTAATTTTACCGCAATGATAATTTGTTTTAGCAGCGTGAAAAAGTCAAAATATTCCCTTAATTATTGTTTATTCTTTAGTTAACGATTATCTACGTTAGTTTGAAAACAGCATATATGGAGCTCGACTATAATTTTGTCCATACTTTACCGTATAAATTGATCCATATACAAATATATATATATATACAAATATATATATATTTGTTATATATATATATATATATATTATAGATGGCATTGATAATATAATCAACAGAGACGTAAAGCTCTGCAACGTAAGCTGAAAGAGAGATAAATGAGAAGGAGAAATCGGAGAGAGTGCGGGTAAGGAATGTGAATTTTAAAAAATTGCGATATTGCAGCGTAAGGCGTAACTCGCTCCATCGCCTTACGGCTGAAAGGACAATTTTGAGAAAAGAAGGGAAGTATGAATATTACTCTCCACCATCAGCCATGGCTGGATCCATCCAACATGGCTGGAGAGACTAGGTGGAGAGTGTCTGCGCTCCCCCGGGCTGCTTGCGATGATGCGTCGAGGACGTCGAGGTAATGCATACGGCCCGTCGTAATTTAGAGCGACGTGTCGCTGCGAAATCGGCGCTGCAATAATTTTCCCGTGAAAGAATGTGCGAATCGTAAATTGTTGTATTCACAAAATTAACACCGGCTGTGTAATAAGAGTTCCATCATCGTCGTCGTTATTAATAACAATAATAACAATAAATAATAAATAAATAAATAAATAAATAAATAA